AAAGACACCAGAAACAAAATTGTAGACTTGCACCAGGCTGGGAAGACTGAATCTGCAATAGGTAAGCAGCTTGGTGTGAAGAAATCAACTGTGGGAGCACTTATTAGAAAATGGAAGACATACAAGACCACTGATAATCTCCCTTGATCTGGGGCTCCACGCAAGATCTCACCCTGTGGGGTCAAAATGATCACAAGAACTGTGAGCAAAAATCCCAGAACCACACGGGGGGACCTAGTGAATGACCTGCAGAGAGCTGGGACCAAAGTAACAAAGGCTACATCAGTAACACACTGCGCTGCCAGGGACTCAAATCCTGCAGTGCCAGATGTGTCCCCCTGCTTAAGCCAGTACATGTCCAGGCCCGTCTGAAGTTTGCTGGAGAGCATTTGGATGATCCAGAAGAGGATTGGGAGAATGTCATATGGTCAGATGAAACCAAAATATAACTTTTTGGTAAAAACTCAACTTGTCGTGTTTGGAGGAGAAAGAATGCTGAGTTGCATCCAAAGAACACCATACCTACTGTGAAGCATGGGGGTGGAAACATCATGCTTTGGGGCTGTTTTTCTGCAAAGGGACCAGGACGACTGATCTGTGTAAACGAAAGAATGAATGGGGCCATGTATCGTGAGATTTTGAGTGAAAACCTCCTTCCATCAGCAAGGGCATTGAAGATGAAACGTGGCTGGGTCTTTCAGCATGACAATGATCCCAAACACACCGCCCGGGCAACGAAGGAGTGGCTTCGTAAGAAGCATTTCAAGGTCCTGGAGTGGCCTAGCCAGTCTCCCGATCTCAACCCCATAGAAAATCTTTGGCGGGAGTTGAAAATCCGTGTTGCCCAGTGACAGCCCCACAACATTACTGCTCTAGAGGAGATCTGGATGGAGGAATGGGCCAAAATACCAGCAACCGTGTGTGAAAACCTTGTGAAGACTTACAGAAAACGTTTGACCTCTGTCATTGCCACCAAAGGGTATATAACAAAGTATTGAGATGAAATTTTGTTATTGACCAAATACTTATTTTCCACCATAATTTGCAAATAAATTCTTTAAAAATCCTACAATGTGATTTTCTGGATTTTTTTTTCTAATTTTGTCTCTCATAGTTGAGGTATACCTATGATGAAAATTACAGGCCTCTCTCATCTTTTTAAGTGGGAGAACTTGCACAATTGGTGGCTGACTAAATACTTTTTTGCCCCACTGTACATTCATGGGAAATAATGTTTTAGAAGTTTTGGAACTGTGTGTGGCATCCACCTATCAACATGCGACCCCAATTATAATTTTTTTTTACCATAATCAGAAAATTGCTCTTCTCATTTTCATCAAGAGGAACTCCATCTCCTAGCGTTTTAAGATCCTCAGACGTCTTCTCTAATTTCATCTCAAGTTGTTTCTGCAGCTGTGGCAGTGTTTTCTAAAGGTAAAGAAATTATATAGAAACTGAGATATTAGAATGCAAAAGACAATCTAGAATCTTATATCCTATTCTGATTTTAGTTTGTTCTAGTCTTTTGTTTTTTAAGGGTGTATTCACACCAGGAAAGTCCGCTAGTTCACTTGCTTTGGTCCGGACCAAATACAATGTTGATTTTTTTTTGTTGTTTGGTGTGGTTCGCTTTCACACTGCCCTTTTTGCAAGTGAACCAGAAATTGTAAACAAAAGCACACGTGTGCTAAAGGGCATCCATTAATTGGACAGAAATTCTCAAGCGTACCAGAATTAGTTTGGAAGTGGACCGAGACCACCTCTTCAGCTGGGTCTCGGTACGATTGTTTGGTCCGCACCCGAGTGCGATTGCTGTATTCACACATGCCCAAAAGATCCACACCAAGGGGGGAAACAAACTTGAGTTTGATTCAGTCGAACCAAACAAGACAGGTGTGAATACACCCTAAGTCATATACTATGTACTGTGTCAATGTTTCTGCTGTCATGTAACTTCACATACGCACAGCAATGTGTTCAACCAATTCTTTTGTGAGTCTTTCTGCAAGAAGGGGTATTGTAGCTTTTCCATCTTCAAGAAGAGACCTGAAGGGAAAGAATGAATTTAAACAGAAAAAAGGAAGTTAAAGACAACTGGAGTGTTTTCCACACTTTTTATTAATAAATATTAGAAATATTACCAAGAAAAGGACAATTTTTCATATTAATATTTTTTCAAACCAAATTAATTTCTTACCTGAAATGAGAATGTCCATCAAAAAACTGTCTTTCTTTTTTCAGAGCTTGGACCAGATTAAGTTTTTCATTGATATCTTGCTGACCTTAACGATCATGTAGCCCTTCTTCAGTGGTATTACTTGATTATTGACTGTTTTGATCACCGTCTCCTCCATGCCTTTGTCCACTAAGTCTGGCTTAGTCAGAATACCTGCATATACAAATATTATCTTCGCTTTGATCAGTGTTTTATTTTGCTACTATTTCACCATTTAAGAAAACAGGAACAATACTTAACATTCACTGAAATGATACGTACCCAGAGTTCTTTGTCCGGTTGAATCGACTTTGGATGCCATCCGCAGTGCCTCAGTGGTGGCAATGTCAATGTTTGCAGGCACCACAACCAAACTGATGGTCTCTTGTCTTTTAATGAACTTTTCAATTAGACTTTTTATCTGTTACAGAAAAACAAAATTAGTGAACAAATTACTGCAATGACCAATGGGGTTAGAATACATACTGTTATCTATTAAAATGATGTAGACTGAGCTTTGAAAGAAATATTTTAAGATGAAGATTTGTTAATTTATGGAATAATTTACCTGTTTTCATTTTGCCTGTTGAAATGTATGGAATGGTTTGTCTGATTGTTCCTTTTATTTTTTTCCTTTAGTATTATTTTATCTCTTTATATTTATGTATGTGTATGTATTTATATGTTTATATATAAGTTGTGTTGTTTCTTTGTTGTTACTCTTGCTCTGTAATTCATCATAAGTATCTCAAATAAAAGCTATAATTGTTCTAGTTTCTAGGAACTCTATTTATAGTATTTATATTTATCTGAGGAACTGTCTAAAGAAGCTGCTGTCCAAATTGTTTGAGTGCTCTAAGCATTTCTACACACTTCCATATGCAAATTGTCTTACTTGTTCCTCAATGTCTACTGGCTGGTTTCCAGTGGCAACTCTAGCAATGCCTGGCAGGTCGATGAGAGTGAGGTCAGGAACATCACTGGACTGGATCTCCAGAGTGATCATATCAGAACTGATCCCTTCACCTTCTCCAGCCAATACTGTCTGAGCTACAAAACAATACAATATCACAATCATCCCACCAATGACAAAACAGTTAATTAATTTATTCTAAAGACTTAAAAAGCATTCAATTTCTTAATAATCTGTTTAATAAAACACATCAATGGATTACAGACCATTTAAGACAGCCTTTTCTACTTCCGCTTGGTCTTTTAGTGTCTTTTCTTGTTTCTTATATGACAACACTCCATGCCAGTTATTGCCCTTTGTAATTTTCTTCAGTTTCAATACCAGAGGACATCGTGTCACAATACCTGTGTTGAATATAGTAGATGGTCAGCCGAACGATACATTATATATTTAGACTGACACATAAGGACAGAAAAAAACATGTATTTCCAGTCTGCAGATCAATATATTTATTGTGCTAGTGTGTATTACCTGTTCCTCTAGGCAGGGCCACTCCAGACAGGGCTTCCAACACAGAACTCTTTCCTGAGCTCTGGTCACCTATGACAGCAATAGCTGGCAGGTTCAGGTCCTTTTCAACACCCAATGACCTGAGAGAGTCCACTAGGTCAATGCATGGACGCACCTTCTCTTCATAGTGCTGGTTCAGACCACTACTCTTTCCCTTTGAAGAACCGCATTGAGACATGTCTGAACTATATCTGCAAAATATGACCAAGAGCCAGTCTTAAATTGTGTGATAACTATTGTATTTAAGCAATAAAGTAGCCTACTATAAGTCATGCTACACCTTATATCCATCTTATTTTGCAACGTGGAAAAAAAAATTATTTTAATGTGCGAGACGTCTAAGACAGTATTAGGAACTAGATTTGTAGACAAACTTTAACTTGGCTTGAAAAAGCCTAGCTAGAAAGTTAGAAAAATTTTGAAAAGCTTGCAGTCTGAAAGTTTTCAGTTTGAAGTAGTTTGAAAGTTAAAATAGTTTTAAAGATTAAAGTTTGAATGTTTTCAAGGCAATACAGTCTATCAGAAAAACAGATAGGTATAAAACATTGCTAGGTTACATGGGGTGGTTGCTAGGCTGTTTCTAGCATGACTAGCATGTTGCTAACATGATTTTAGCATGATTAGCATGTTACTAGCATGTTGCTAGCATGGTTAACTTGTTTATAGCATGAATAGCATGTTGCTAGCACAATTAGCATGTTGCTAGCATGATTAGCATGTTACTATCATGTTTCTAACATGGTGTTAGCATGTTACTAGCATGGTATTAGCATTTTGCTAGCATGATTAACAAGTTACTAGCATGTTTCTAACATGATTAGCATGTTAATATCATGTGTTAGCATGATTAGCATGTTACTATCATGGTGTTAAGATTTTGTTAGCATGATTAGCAAGTTACTAGCATGTTTCTAGCATGATTAGCATGTTACTAACATGTTGTTAGCATTATTAGCAAGTTACTAACATGTTACTAGCATGATTCTAGCATGATTAGCATGTTACTAGCAGCTGCATTTGACCTTATTGATCATAAGCTTCTTTTGGAAAAATTGGAGAGTTATAGATTTAGACCATCACTAATTGCTTGGATGGAAAGTTATTTGGATAACAGATCACAGAGAGTGTTTTTTTAAGTTAAAAAGTTTTAAGAAGTTGCTCAGATAGAAGAGGAATTGAATGTGGAGTTCCACAAGGGAGCTGTTTATAACCACTTTTGTATTCCATTTTCACAAATGATTTATATCTGGTATTAAGAAGTGCTAAATTAACAATGTATGCAGACGATACAACAGTTTATGCATCTGCACAAACGTCAGTTGAATTGACGGCTATTTTGAATGAAGAGTTGGTTTTTAGAAAACAAGTTGATACTAAATACATCTAAAACAAAGAGTATAATATTTGGGTCTAATTATTCTCTACGGTCCAAACCAGAGCTGAAGTTATATATAAATAAAACACTTATCCAGCAAGTTAAGGAAGCAAAAATATTGGGTATCACCCTGGATAATAAATTGTCATGGTCAAAGCATATTGAGAACACAGTGAAGAGAATGGGAAGGGTGATAGCTGTAGTAAGGAGATACAATATTTTACGTTTGATATAATGAAAATAATATTGGACACTTTCTTCTTCACACAGCTGGACTATTGTCAGATTATATGGGCCAATGCTACAAAAAAGGATTTGAGGAAACTCCAGTTGGTACAAAATAAGGCAGCAAGGTTAATACTCCAGTGTCTGTATGGTACGAATATTAATAGTACTGTATGCACTTTGATCTTAAATGGCTAAGAGTGGAAGATAGGATGATTGCTGCAATATTGTTATCAACATGGAAGTTTTTACATTTTAAAACTCCATTGGATCAGTATAATCAATTACAATCTAATGCTTAGTCACATGAATATGCTACTAGATGAGCAACGGAGGGTAGATTTCTACTCCCTAATGCTAAAACTAATTTTCTTAAACGTACAGTAACATTTAGGGCAATGAAATCATGGAATCTTTTACCATTGTCATTAATTAGGATAACACGAAAAATTGATTTTAAAAGGCAGGTAAAGGCACACCTTGGAATTCTGTACTTATAGGATGTTGAGGTATAGGGATTAGTTGAATAAGCAAAAAGTTTTTTATATAGTAGGTGTTATAGATATTATTGTGTAATTCTATTATAGATTATGCTATTTACTCAATATGGTATTCTTACTCTTACTTAATATTTTAAGTCTCGGCGCACACAACGCAAAGGACTTCAAAATTGCTGTCACAGAGCGCTGTAAGTTCAATATGTCAAATAGACATGAATGATTTACAAACGATTCAAAGAAGAAAGATTGACAATGCTGATCTATCTTCCCATCGTATTTAACATATTAGCAACGCTTGTTATTGCTTGTAACACCATTGATTAGTATTGTGTAATTCTATTATATATTATGCTATTTACTCAATATGGTATTCACCATTGGGCAATACTGGTGGTTTCCATTGGATTGTACCAAGTTACCTTAAATAACCCAATATACTCTGGGTCATTTCTAGAAGTTTCCAGCAGTAGGCAGGAACAAGTAGCCAAATTTGACATTTAAAATGGTTGATCTAACCACATTCCACCATTAATAAAGGTGGCCAGAGTGGCTGATCTTGCAAATTCCACTGATAAGCATATCTGAGCACATGAGCACAAGTACGTTTTAATACCCATAATGTCCTTGACCTGGTTTTTTTAATGTATGTAATAATGGATGAATGTTAAGTGTTGTGTGGACCCCAGGAAGACTAGCAATGCCTTAGGGCATAGCTAATGAGAATCCAAATAAATAAACAAACTAGCATGGTGTTAGCATTTTGTTAGCATGATTAGCAAATTACTAGCATGCTTCTAACATGATTAGCATGTTACTAGCATGTTGTTAGCATGATTAGCAAGTTACTAGCATGTTTCTAGCATGATTAACATGTTACTAGCATTATTCTAGCATGTTTAGAATGTTACTAGCATGATGCTAGCATGTCTCTAGCATGTTTAACAAGTTGTTAACATGTTTCTAGCATGATTAAAGTCTGCATGAAATCAAAATTGACTTTATTTACTATTCTAGCGCACATTGCTAGTCTTGATGTAAACAATTAATCCGTGCAGGTTAATCCGCTGAAACTATTGTTTGTCTTCATAATCTTCTGGAATGGCATTCCTTTTCTGATGACATCAGTTTGACGGCTTGGGCAGAATATCCTTAAACACACCCCTCCAACCGTTAGATTGCTACGAGTGAGAGACAGAGAGGAGGAGCACAAACATAAAACCATGCCCTCTATTCAATATTCCGTTTCAGCTGGAAATACGTCACTACACTGAAATAAAGTCGGCAGCAACTTCCGGTTCACGTGGATTTGTCACTAGCATGGTGTTAACATTTTGTTAGCATGATTAGCAAGTTACAAGCATGTTGTTAGCATGTTTCTAGCATGATTAGCATGTTGTTAGGCTGGTTGTTAAAGGGATAGTCCACCCCAAAATGAAAATGTTGTCATTAATCACTTACCCCCATCTCGTTCTAAACCCGTAAAAGCTTTGTTCGTCTTCGGAACACAATTTAAGATATTTTGGATGAAAACCGGGAGGCTTGTGACTGTCCGATTGACTGCCAAGTAAATTACACCGTCAAGGTTCAGAAAAGAATGAAAGACATCGTCAGAATAGTCCATCTGCCATCAGTGGTTCAACCGTAACGTTATGAAGCGACGAGAATACATTTTTTGTACGCGAAGAAAACAAAAATAACTACTTGATTCATCAATTCGTCTCCTCTGTGTTTCTCCGCATCACCGTAGCGCCATTTTGGAGAATATCTGCTGAACACAAACAGCGTACGCTATTCTGTGTCACAGAAGAGCGTACGCTGCTTGCGTTCAGCGGATATTCTCCAAAATGGCGCTACGGTGATGCAGAGAGATCTTTGGACTGTGCTCTCAAGGAGAATATTTATTTATATAGCATATTTTATTTTAGATCAACTAGAAACAATGTTTAATTTATAAAGTTTGATTTTGAAATGTAAGTCAATTGCTAGTGAAGGGCATAAAAAAAAGGACTGGAACACAGCCTAACTTGTAAAACGAGTCTAAGCAGTTTAAACGAGCGGAAGGAGGAAATAGGCGTAGCCTATCTGTCGAGTTAATACAGTCCATTCAGTATTTTGCTTGGTAACCCAAAAAGCCTGATGAAACAGAATTTACTTTATTTTACCTTGACATTTATTAAACGGTTTTATAAAAGCAATTTCACACCTGTAATCTTCCTGGTGAATCATATATCAGCATGTGCCTACTGCCTACCATACATTTAAATCAGTTATGATGATATGCAGATACCCGACAGTCGATCCTGTGGATCCAGATAATATTGCTTTATAATGTCGATGGAGCGTCGGAGATATTATACATAGGCTACATTAATTTTTGAAATTGTTTAATGAGTCAATTATTTGTCCAGTCACCAGATGTAGATGTACACAACAAAAACATTTTTTCCCAGTTTTCCTATAAATGACTTGTAGAGAGAAAACAGAATACAGGGAGAAAGATGAAGACAGAAGAAATCGGGCTACTCACTCAGTTCACCAGCGGCACTGCTGTCAGATGCGCTGAGATGCTGACCGTCTTATAAACCCTTAAGTTTTGGTTTCGTTTATTCTGAAACTGCACAATGTAAACGAAAATAGTGGTGCGCACCATAGGCGGAACGTGTGTAAGACTGGGCCCTGGCCACAGCGAGTTGGGGCAAAAATGCCACTAAATTGGACAAAAAAGGCCCTGCACAAACAAATTAAATCTATTACAACTGTTGTTAACAAAATGAAAATGAATAGAAAGTGTCGATTGCGGCATTAAATTAAAGATGTGTACAATGTAAGTAAGATATTAATTTCACAGTGTAGATAGGTGATTATAACGATAGTTTTTTTAGAGTGCTTAAACCCGCGATAGATCAAAGTTAGTGGTGCCACTTTCTGTAATTTCAATTAAATAACATTGGAAAGGAAACCTTTTATAAATACCAATTTCTAATGTTTTTTATTAAATTGTAATTACATTAAATACAAATTCAGTCCCATTAAACATATTTTATTAGCCTATGCATGACACCCATGTCTGGTTCTTGC